AATTCTGTGTGCACCCCTTTGGCTCTCTGAAAGCATCTTGCAGCTCTTTCTTAGTTTTTCAGCCCAATGAAGATTGGGTCATTCACAAGGAGCTGGGAAAGCCACACATTCCGCCCGTTGAGATAATCTTCTTAAGAGAGCCTGTAAATACGTCGGTGAGGCAGTGAAACCTCAAAACAACCTATCTTCCCAGGAGCAGAAGCAGCAGTGGGTGCATAAAAAGTTGTTTTGCAGTATCTGTAACCGTCTGAAATCTCTAATTTAGAAATAAACATTTTTTCAGAATACTGTGGTACAAATACAAGAAGGCGTTTTCTCGTAACCTGTTCAGTCTGAAAGGAGGAGTCCAGCTGGACAGCTGGAACACCAGGCACTAAGAAATCATCTATCCCTCAAATAAAATGCACATTCCAATGATGTATTAAGTCATTAAACTGAATACCAGATGCTACTTTTTGCGTTAAATAAATGACATAAAAATACTGGTTTTAAATACATAAAACCAAACACTCCTATTTTTTCCCCGACATAAATGTAAACAACAGCAAAAAAGACTTTCACTGGTGCAACAGGTATGAACCTACAAACTACTTCTTTATAATACAGCAACCCACAACTTTAGACAGTCGTTTTTAAACTTCAGTCAGTGTTTCTCAAACTTCTAGGAATTGAGACCATTCTTCTGTCTTTGTCAGCAGTGCCTCTCAAGGGAGTGCCAACGGGGTAGAAGAGAGATGCTGGTACAGACCACAGACTACTGCCTTCAAGCATCCTCAGCGCCTCCTCTGGGAGAGCAGCAGCAGGCTTTCCCCAAAGGGCACTGGCACTCAGAACTGCGCTGTAGGTACCGACCTCGCACTCCACTCCTGGTCAGCAGCTTCCACAGTTATTACCCGATAAACACACACACGCACTGACAACTCTTAGCAAAATCTGAAAATCTGAAAGAAAGCAGCCAGGAAAATATCAAAAGAAAAACCCAATTTTTTTGCCATAGCACTTGTAATTCTCTCACCTAGGCGTAGAAACACTGAAAAATAGCAGGCAAATGTAAATGCACATAAAATAGTACAGCTTGTAATCCAGCAGTGAGAGTCTGCAGTTAAGTGTAACCTGCTTCAGGTATAGCTATGGGTACCACTTCCCATAAATGCTTCCTTCATGAAAAAAATACCTGCTTATGGTTCAGGAGACCAGAGAAACCGTAGAAGTGGAAGTGAAGCTTCGTGACTATCAAACCCCACACCAACACGGAAGGAACTTGCATGACTAAGCAACATGGTACTTCTCTGTATGTTGAGAATGCCCGTTTTGTACCTAATTTACTGGTAAGTATTTCATGTGCCATTCAACTGATTCCATTTACAGTGTGCAGAGAGCTGTCCACAAAATTGCATCTTCTGGTTGGTCAGTGTCTTCTTCTTAATTAACCTGCTGGGCTAATACATTTATTCATGCAGACATGTACCACAACAGATGGATCATTCACATCTTTACCAATATACTCTTCACAACCTGAGCCGGAGCGTCCGGGGGGAGGGGGTTGTGGTAACTTCGGAACTCCCTTGGGCTAAATTAAGGTGAAACAACACCAAATGATCAGTTAAACGTTTTATTTATGGTAGATGCAACCTGAACTTGGAAGGCGTAATAGTGGCAGTGCAGTTTCTTATTAAAATGTTCGCCAAGGTAAGAAAGAGAAAGAGGAAAAGACAGGAAAACGGGAGCGGGGGGGAGAGAGAGATTGTCACCACCCCTGGATCCCACGATGAAGCTCTCTGTCAATGATGCTGACGGTCACGGTGATCATCCAGTGGTGGGCACACACAGGGCTCCTTGTGTCTGCATCTTTTACGGCCCAGTTTATGCCCTTTTTACATCAATCATGCCCCTCTGTTTTCTGCGCACCGCCCCTAAGGACTTGATCTTCTGTGCAGGTGAAATTATGGGGGGTGGTTGTGAGCCCCTTCCCGAATAAGCTTGGGGGGCCCCTTAGCTATGTACCGTAAGTTTTGCTTAGCTTATCAGGACTCAGGACTGCACATCCCTCCACACACCTCTGGCGTCCTGCATTAGCCAAATCTCTCACGTGCAGCGTTACTATGCGGAGCTTATCTTGTCACAGGACCTCGCAAGCAACCTCCATCCCTCCGCCACTATGCAGGACTTACCCTGTCACACCGCCTCGCAGGCAAGTTCCACTCCCTCCCTCAGCCGCAAAAGCCAGGCCCGGCCTCTGTAATTTTCTATGGCAACAAGTGTTGGAGGCATTTAACCATGTTCAGTCTCTCACAACTCTCCCGAACCCTACATGCACATCTCTCTCACATCATCTAAAAGTTTTTGACACAGCAACCCAAAGATTCTTACTTCACCAAAGCACACAATTAAACGTTCTTAATGTGCGTGTTTCAGTTTATATATACTTCAGAAGCTATGCTTCATGTTGTTCCCACACATGTATCCTAACAGACATAGCGGGATTCAGATAACCCTGCTAACTGCTACTAAAATAAACCTAGCTTCCCAAGCTCTATCTCCTTCGCTAGCACACATAATGCAAAATGTAGAATCTGGAATTTAACAAGAAGGATCACAAGGACCAACTGAGTACTTTAGTTAGTGTTTTGTGATGGGTTGACCATCTCACAGCAGCCGCCCCTGTAGCCCCCCACCTACCAAAACCTTGCCACACAAACCCAATATATGCATTTATGCGCTATATTCAAGGCATCATCTTTAAAACTGAAGGACTTTCTGAGACCACGTGCCAGATGAACCGCTACTGATCAGTTTGGGTGAAAGAACCACTACCAAGCCAGGTTAATTCCTCCACTGTGCAACACAGGAAAGGCTTGAGTCCTTACTAAAACCAAAAAGATGTCACCAAACAAGGTCGCTTTCACCACAGGGCCCAGTTAAGACCTGCAAAACCACTTACCAGGGCCCTAGTTTGGCCTGTAGACCACAGCACGTGAGTCACTGCATTAAAAGCTCCAGAAGCTTTTCAATTGCATCCCTGGACACGTAAAATAAATTAAAAAAAAAAAAAATCAAGCTGTGATTTCAATAAAAACACCTGGAAGGCACAGTCTACACTCGTTCCACGGCACGGAAGTTACGTACGCATCAAGTACACGGGCACAGCGAGCCAAGTGACCCGGAGCACTGCAATGCTTTAACCTGGTCCACAGGAAACGCGCATCCGAGAGCAGGTGAGCTACACGCACCGGCTCTGACTGAGCACGCGACACCGTAACAACACGGAATTAGATTTCACCGAGACAATTTTTTTTCCGAGTGCTGTAGCACTGAACAGTTGAACACCTCCTCCCAGACACACCGCTCCTCTAGCACCCCCCAAAGCCAAAACAAAACGCACGCCACAATTTACGCTGTAGTTCCAAGAACCCCCAAGTTTCAGCCCTCGCTTGAAAATCCGAGGCAAGCTGCTGACGGGCGCTGCGAGCCGGACCCCCGAGGATTAGGGCGACAGGAGCACCGGCGGCCACGTACGCTGCCTCTCCCGGCACCGGCATCAAACGGGGCCGAGGAAAGCCACGGGTTCAACCCCGGAGAAAGCGAGGCCGAACGCCTGCTGGGTGGGAAACACGAACCCAGCGAGCAAGGCGGAGAA